CACTCCCCCCCATTGGGAAGAACCATGGGCTTAGCTCATTCCAAAGAAAAATAGATTCTCTCCTATTAGATGGATTAATTTACCCACAGAATTAAACATACAAAGTGTAGTAGTTATTTGTTTAAAAAGAGCACATTTAATTTATTTTTGAAGGAATGTCACGACAATATCTCCTCAGCTCATTTTTCCTTTGACAGAACAATTGAGAGAGTTAAACAAATTGCTTGGTGGCCTAAATTTAAAAATGATACCAAAGATTATTGTGAATCTTGTGACAGATGCCAAAAAGCAAATAAAGCTACAGGAAAAAAGTATGGATTATTGCAAGAAATTGAAGAACCCAAAGAAAGATGGTCTGTTATTAACATGGATTTTGTTACTGGCTTACCACCTGGAGGACCCAATAATTTTAATGCAATTTTAGTAGTAGTTGATAGATTTTCCAAAAGAGCAAGATTTCTACCATGTCATAAAGAAGATACAGCAATGGATACTGCCTTATTATTTTGGAATTCTATTATTTATGATGTTGGTTGTCCCAGATATATCATTACAGATAGAGACCCTAAATTTATGTCAGAATTTTGGAGGAATTTATATGATTTATGTGGAACACAACTAAAATTTTCTACAGCCTATCACCCTCAAACAGATGGACTAGCTGAAAGAATGATTCAAACTTTGGAAGACATGATCAGAAGATATTGTGCATATGGTATGACATTTAAGGATAAAGACAACTATACTCATGATTGGTGTTCATTATTACCTGCACTTGAATATGCTTACAATTCTAGCAAACACAGTACAACAAACAAAACACCTTATGAATTAGAGGGAGGTTGGACTCCTTGGTTTCCCAAAGAAATTTTAATGTCAAAAGCAGTACACATACACCCAAGTGCAGCTGAGTTTCACTTTATGATGACCAAAGCTGAAAAATATGCAGCAGAATGCATGAAATTAGCTGTAGACTACAACAAAACTAGATGGGATAAAACTCATAAAGCTCACCAGTTTAAAGTTGGAGACCAAGTCTTGATATCTACATTTAATTTTACAAACCTGACTGGGCCTAAAAAATTAAGAGATTCCTTTGTAGGACCTTTTACAATTAAACAATTACACGGTGCAAATGCTGTTGAAGTTATACTTACTGGAGAACTAGAAAGAAAACACCCTACATTCCCAGTTAGTCTAATTAAACCATACAAAAACAGTGATAATGATAAATTTCCTTTATGAAAAGATAACATCAGAGTTGTAATACCTCCTTTAGAAAAATGTCAGCCTGCTACTATTCAGAGACAACCTGACCATAGCATAATAAATATTTAGAGACATTATTACATATACTACCCCCATAACATATGTAATTAATGTCTATTTTATATGTACATAATATAGAGACATTATTACATATGTACATATGAAAACATTAATAAAGTGGAATCACTATAATAGAGACATTATTACTCATTACATTAAGTTTTACTAGTCATGAAAGAAAACATAAAAATAAACCAAAAACATTTATAAATAAACATTTTTAACATGAATCTACAAATAACTTCTAAACCTTAAGCAAAAGTTAGAATATTATTTCAGATTCTTAATTCTCATGCAAAATAACCTAGGGTACCTCACCAGAAGTACCCCTGAATTATTACTCCTTCAGGTACTTCTGTGTACTCTGAGTGACACTTGCTCATTTTGCTAAAAACCCTCCCAGTTACATCATACTACATGTTGTGACAGGTCTACATATGTAATTAAGGTTCATGCAGTTCGGGAAAAATCTAAAAATAAGATTGACATCATTGAAACCTTAACTACATTGTCACAACAACTGTAACTGGCTGGTCAAAAGCCATTTGTGGCCCTTTTTGGCCCAATTTGGCTAACTATGCCTGGTTAAGACCAGCCCACTGGTCATTAAAGGGTCCCATTGACCAAACCATGGCTGCAGGCTCGTCACAGCACCCCTTAGGGAGTGTTACAAGCCTCACTTCAGCCCTCTGCCACCTGTAACCAAGGACTACAGGTGTCTAGGCAGTGCTACAGGTCACCAATGCCTAGTAGGAGGCTTGCACCAGCCAAACAGAGTTCTGAGTTCGCCTCCAAGGGCCCAGAATGAGTATATAAGGAGCCCTTCTTAACCACGAACTCAAATTCCCCATCTTCATCATCACTTACCAGCAATAACCACCTCCAACAACCAGTTTTTACCTGTTTTTGGCCCAGTTCCTGCTGTTTTTCATCCTGAATTTCAACCAACCAACCATCAACTGTTCCCCAGCACTCTCTCACCACCTGTTACCCAGTTTTCTGAGCGCTTCCAGACCAGTTTTCACCCACCTGAAGTCCCCCTTGGCTTGGAAATAGTACAAGTAGGTAATATTTCCTTGATACTTCAGTTGTAGGCATCTTGTCTGGGCATACTCCTTTACACAAAGGACCAGATCATCAGGTACATCAAAAATACCCCTGTTTAACAGGTCCTGATTCATTGGAGGGCACCATAAAAACCCCTGTAACTCAGGCCCCTCCCTTTATAAAAACTTAACAGTTTTTATTATTTCTTTTCTTAATATCAAACACCTCCCCATTCCAAGTGTTACCCACACTTGTACACCTTTTTTCTTAGCTTTGCACCTGGTGTAGCTAGAAGAGTCAAGCTCTTGGCATCACCCAGGCTGACAATTGGGGGTCTGGCCGGGAATTCTTTTTATCTTTTGATAAAAACCTGGTACTACTTTTCTTTAAAAAATAAAAACAAAACACATACAAAAAATATTTTTCTTACTCCTTCCTCTTGAATTTTTTTTACAAAAATCAAACCACCTAAAAAACATCTTAAAAAAGCTTAAAACATAATCTGAAAACCTTTTTCTTACTAGCCTTTTTCCTTTACCTTTTTCTTATAGTGGAATTACAAGAAACCTCGAGACTAATCCAATATTATCTTGAACTCCTTGCCTCTGAAAAAGCACAGCGCGCAGCGGCTTATCAACCTACCCCCTGGGAGTTACTTACCCCTCAAGAACAACGCGACCGCGCCCTTGCTCGCGTTCGACTCAACGAAGAAAAACGAATAGACAACCTGTTTGCCTTTAACGCGCTCAAACGCCAGCATAAAGACCGTCGCCGCGAATTATTAGCAGAACTTAAAACCAAAAGACTCGCGAAAAGTACGTCAATAGTTCCTTTTCAAATACGCTAGCTTTTCTTCTCCAGAATTTTTTCTAATAAAAGTAAAAACTTTTATTCTTGTTCTACCGATAGTGTCAGTTACTTCCAGCTCAAGCGCTGCTACTACCCCAGCTTCTCATACCGCTGCTCACAGCCCAGTCTCAGGTAAATAACTAGATTGAGCTCCCCCCTTTTTTCGTTATCTTTCCTTTTTTTTTGACAATCAAGTAAACTAAGGAAAAAACAAATTACATTTTTCATTTCTTTTGGGGATAAAACGTATAATGTCGACCAGGTCCAACAACCCCGACTTGCACGGCCCCCTTCCCCCAGCCTCGCGACCAAGGCGTAGCAAATCAGCTGGAGGAACGGGTCAACCGCCTCAAGCTGATCACAATCCAAAAGAAACTAGCGCCAGTCTCAGTCGCGAGAGCGACGGAGGAGACATTGGCCGAGAGAGGCTCGACCACGGAGACCACGGCTCGAGCCATCAGTCCAAACACCGCGACCATACCAACAGTCCAAAAGGACTTGGCACCGATGATAGCACCAGTAGAGAAAGCCTCAGATGCGATGGACTTGGATCCCCAAGTATCGACCTCCTTGGCGGATACCCAAATACGCCGCGCGTCTCCGGAAGTGAGAGTCCTCTCCAAGGAGGAAAAAATCCAACTCCTCACCAAAGAACACATTCTTCTTTGGAAGAGGTGCGAAGCGTTGCGACCCTCCGGCGCTACGGAGGAACTCAGAGCACTCCTCGGTCAAGCGCAGGAGAGTCAGAAGACCCTCCAGAAACTCATTCCTCGAACCGAACTCGAAGAATACGTCAGGGGCTGGAACCCCTGGACGATAAAGAAAGAGATGTTTCCAACTACCCGCAAAGAGGGAGGAGGGAAGAAAAGAAGCTCCTCCTCCCAAGCGAGCTCGTCCAAGAACACTCTGTTCAACGACCCAGGACGTTGGAAAAGAGTCATGAGGGGCTGCAACACCCTCGAGGCGGCATACCGCCACATGGCGGACTAGATACAAAAATCCTTACCGCTATCTTAGATAGCTTAGAACTTGTCAGTAAAAATTTATCGGCGATTGATAGTAACGCCGAAGAAAATTTTAAGACAATTGTACATAGTTTAGATCTCGTGTCCCGAAATAACAAAAAGAATGCTACCTCGTTGTCCGTACAATTTGACAACATATTGCGAAACCCTCTGTCCATTAATCCTGAAATGACTAAGAAAATAGCCGAGAATACTGCTAAAAGCGAGCAATCATGCTCTAGACTTACTACTTCTGTCAATAAACTAAATAATGACTTAGGTACTACTGCAGATCATATCCTTTCTAGCATCAGAGAAGATAATGTTATAGAGAACGCAAAAAAGAAAGAAGAAACAGACTTAATCAAAGATTTGCTCATCCAACAGAACATCAGAACTGAAGGATTAGAAACTTTGATTAAAGAACAGATCTCTATCCTCAAAACAGAGTTGAGCGCTGAAATAAAAACCAGTGTCCGTAATTTATTAGCGCAGTATGTTTCTCTAGATAAAATTGAAACTCCTGTCTATCAAAATAATGACAAAACCCATCATGGTCAACCACGCTTTAACAACCCCTATATGGAAGAAATTCCGTCACAAAATGATAGAGATGCTGCTCCTCATCTCAATAGATCTCAAACTAATGCTGTGCCGCAGCAATATAGGAATCCTCCACCCCATTTAAGTAATCATACTTATTCCGCGCCACCACAGTCCCAACATAATGCCAATAGAAAAATAAAGGGTGGTTATTATTTCGTCTCTTCTGAAAGTCTGGGGAACAATAGACTTCAGTCCGTACAACTTTATATATCCAGCTTGGCAGGGACAACTAGATACAAGCATATGTAGAGTATGTTAATAATGAAATGAGTGAAATGAATAAGAAAATGAGTGAAATGAGTGTGAAATGTATGAAACATGCAGTTGGTGTAGCAAAAAATTAAGTCAACTATTTAAGGGGTAACTGGGTTTTGCTTGCCAGCTGACATTTGCTACCACTAAAAAAACAGAAAAAAAAAATGATGAAGCTGTCATTTGAAAAAAATTAATCAAAGTAAAAGAGTAACCAGAGATCCTTGAACCAATACCATCTGAGAGTGTCGGCGCCTTGTGAGATGTCTTCATGAAGTTCTTCTATTCTTGGGGGCTGTTGTCCTAAAGCACCTTTCCATGCAAAACCAACAAATTTAAACCTTCTGTTGCTCATAGTAGTCCCAAGTTCAGGTTTCTTGTATTCATGAAGTGCAGCTCTCGAGGTACCTTCTCTCCATTCCCAAATACCGAGCACCTGTCTTCTAACTAAGATTTCTGAAGCCTGTTGTAAGTTTTCTATATCTGTCACTGTTGAAGTTCTGATGAATTGTTTCTCTTTGACTGATGTTGGTAGGAGGTCTAGTACAGCAGGGTCGTATTTGAGGAGAGCAAATCTACTACAGCCGCGTCGCAGGTCATTGTGCTCAATGATTTCAGCTTTCTTGTTTCCTGAAGTTCTTGTTATAGCTAATGTCTCAGAAGTCTTTGGTACTGCCCCTTCCAATTTAGAGTGAGCATTGGTGTTGAGCTCTTTTGTGACCGGCAGTTCACTGACCGCTTGCAAGTTTCTTTCGTTGGCTTCTTTGTTTGAGCTAGCCAAGTCGGCTTTGCGGGTTCGCTTGGGATGAAAGAGCCGAGGGGTCTCAGAGCTTGTATTGAGAGCTGTGACCAAGTTATTTGGCGGTATCGGAGGCGTCTTCGCTGACTTTGGATTCACCGGGGCTCCAGGCTCGGTTATTGGTGGAAGCAAGATGGTTGAGGCCTGGAAGTCGTTCCGATTACTCGACCGAACTGCCTTCTCCTTCAATGACAAGCCCAGCGTCGTTTTCGCTGAGGCTTTCAACTTGGTTGGTGGCGAGTTCGTCGCTTCTGTCGGCTTCGCTGAGGATTTCAACTCGGTTACTGATGAAACAGAGGTAATTGGATCGTGCGAGCTGTCTATCGTGGTACGCTTCTTCTCAAGCTCGCTGGCTGTGCTTGCAGCTCGTGAGACATCGACAATGTTTATGAGATGCCGCATCACTTTGAACGAGCGGCTTCGTAGCGTCCTCTGATCTCGACTTTGAGCTGATCTAGTCGATTTCTGTATACTTGATGATTTGACCAAAGGATAGGGAGGACTCGTCGAATGAACATCGTTAATGATAGAATTATCCTTTATCGTTGCGATTCGGGCTGACACTTCCTTTTCTAATCGCGACTCGAGAGCTTTGAGCTTGGATTGGAGTTGGGCAAGTTGCTTCCGAAGTACTACCATCTCGTCTGCGATTGACATGATTGATTGAAAAGGAAAGGAAGAGAAAGAAAAGGAAAACGAAAAAGGGCTATATAGGAGGTTGACCAGCGAAAGGACGAAGCTTGCACAAGAACGACCAAAAGCGGTGGCGGTGGTTTAAGATACCAAGGGTTGAGGGTGACGAGGATGAGAGATGTTTGTCGTCCGGCTTGATGACCAAGAAACGACGAGGGATACTAAGACAATGATGATTTATCTGTGTTAATCCGCGAGGTTGAACCAGATTTTATTCTTCTTAAAAAAAACTGAAAAAAAAAGATGAATCCTCGTAAAGCAAGGGTTCCGTCTGCACAGGCTGTCCAGGTGTACAGGTATGAGGGGTGGTCGCCAATTGTCAGCGGTGGGTTACTCCAAGGTGACTAGTATCCGCTCGATGGAAGTTTACTGGATCCGTCCAGTGGCTCCACGTCGTAGTAAGATACTGATCTGATCCAAAGAGTTCACGCCCAGGCCGTTGATAAGTTTTGAGACAGTCAGGCGTATTGAGATCCAAACAGTGATTTGGTGATTTAAGAGGAGTACGCTAGGTTGAAGTAGTGATGTGTTGATGTATCTTCAAGATAAAGAGGAATGATGTAAAATAAAGGGTGGTTATTATTTCGTCTCTTCTGAAAGTCTGGGGAACAATAGACTTCAGTCCGTACAACTTTATATATCCAGCTTGGCAGGGACAACTAGATACAAGCATATGTAGAGTATGTTAATAATGAAATGAGTGAAATGAATAAGAAAATGAGTGAAATGAGTGTGAAATGTATGAAACATGCAGTTGGTGTAGCAAAAAATTAAGTCAACTATTTAAGGGGTAACTGGGTTTTGCTTGCCAGCTGACAAAAAAGAAGAAATTAAAATCAAGAAGATATTACAACATAGAAAAATCAGAAAAAACAATGAAGACATTAAACAATATTTAGTAAGATACAGTGGTACCAAAGAAGATGAATGGCTTACAGTTGATAAAATACCTGATGCTGATAAAATTCTTAGACAATACAGAGCTGATAAAAGAAAATAACTTTAATATATTTCTTGGATCAGCCTTTTTTAGAGGGAGGAAGTGTCAGCCACAGATTACATGTCACAGTACCTTTCATGTACCAAGTAACTGCAACACCTGTACTTATGTACATAAGTACTTATCCATAATGTTGATTACCCTTACCTCTTGTTATCTTATCATTATTATTTATTTACCTTATTTCATCTTATATTTATCTTATCTGTTAATTACTTATCTATTAAATACATATCTGTTTTATACATACGTAATTATCACTTACCTTTCACTCATGTGTCCGTGAAATACCTGTACCACAAGTTATCCTTGTTCTACAGTATTTTCACGGTCAAATATTATTACAAATAAATATGTACATGTATTAAATAGTAAGTATTAAGTGTCAATAGAATTAATAAATTCAATACATGCACTGATCACAATTATGACTACATTATTAGAGGATCTATTAAGTACACGCATCCAGAGCAACTAGTACACAATTATGATGTCACTTACAGATCATGATAAATAATGATCAGTCACTCAATTGATGTGCTCATTCTCCTGGCCAAAGCTCCCTTGATTCTGAGCGCTCATTCTTTCCCTCCTTCAGTATTATGGAACTTATAATCCGTGCCTCTTTCACTGATTAATCCCCAGAATATTCAGACACCAGTTAAACCAGTTAACATTTATATTGATACAGTACACGTAACGAACATAAATCTTGTCTACATTTATTGTTTTTAAGCTTCAGTACTCTTACTCAACTTATCCACAGTATTCATAGCCTTGCTGAATATTCCCATCAACAATACCTGTTAATCTTCAACTAATTTTCTTAAAGCTTAATAAGTATTGTTAGCCCATTCCCTTTTGGGGAATAAACAAATCAATCCCAGGTGAGTCTTAGTACCCTGGATGCCTATTAATACCTTGTATTGATCTGGATGCTCTGTTGATAGCAAGCCTCTCAGTAAAGACCATACTGATAGAGTGAAACCTCCTCATTACAGGACTGGTATTAATCACCCACTACCTAACACTCACCACGCTCAAAACTTCAGTCAACTCATAGTAACAACCTTTCTACTATTAAATACTCAGGTTAGTTACCCAGAGGCTGACACCTTCCCCCTCTTTTTTTTTTTTTTTTTTTTTTGATAGATTGTCAGGTGAAATAGTCTTAGAAGCAATGCCCAATAATCCTCCTTTTTGTCTTGGTAGTTATGAATGATTGGTGGTACTGGGTAAAGTTTTAGATTACGCCAGCCATCAGGTTTTCCTTCTCTTCCCAATTTGCAAAGCTGTTGCTGATGCCTTAAATTGACTTGTAAACAAGCTGTTCTAATTTTGATTGACTTGATGAGATTTGTACAACGTTCTTGGGAAAAGGTAGCAAGCAATGGACCAAGATGAGGTTTCTGATTCCTTTCTATGCAATCGGATCCGTTTTCGGATATTGATTGATTCAAACAAGTTGCGCCAAGCGTTTTTGGAGTAATGGTTCAAATCCGAATTTGTACAAAACAATTGGGTGATGAAAAGAGGACAAGGCAGTGTAGAAAAGACGAAAAGAGCTTGGTTTATAAGACTTTCTGCGGTCAATCAGTGAAACAAGTCTGGGATTGTTGGTCCAGTTTCTTCTATAAATCAAGCCTTCAAAGCCTTGGTTTTGATCCCGATGTCTATTCCTCCCACCTCTTTCTTTCTTTTTTTTTATTTATTCATTTTTGAGGTGACTTTATTCAAGTACAACAAAGGGTAGTTGATTCTCATGTCAAGGAGCCGTGGAACTTGGAACAAAAAGGGATTGGTATCGCTACGTCTTCCTTTCGTTTCTTCTCCAAGGCTGAGTGATATAAAGCCATAGTTTTTTGCTCGTTCCTCTTGCTTTTCTCCATCTTCAACCTTTTCTTTTTTTGCTGAATTGGACTTGCACTATCACTTGGGTTGTGCACTGCTCTCCTTCTCCCCATTGCGCAGCTGCTCATAAGTGGAGGCAAACCTTTGAGAGCTGAAGGTTTACCGATCTGATGAAAAAAATGTAGGATTTTGATCTGAGTAGTACATGTTATGATTCTCTCCTCTGCTTGACCCATTTGCCTATTGACATCTCTTCTTTCGCTGCAGCTAGCATTTGGCTTCCCCGTTGATTGTTTAGTCCAGATCAGAGAATCATCACAAATGGAATGGTAAAATCGATTGTTAGCTGGTGAGCGTTTCATTCTTCTTGCATTTCCTTTCGCGCGAACTCTAGTATTGACCTCAATGGGCCTCGGAACTGTTCTATGAAAGCTGTCTGCTGCCAGAACCAACCATTCAATCGCTTTTATTCTCTCTAGATACCCTCAGAAAGCTACAACTGTGATTTCAGCTGATGAGCTGTCATTTGGCGAAATTGATTGCTTCCAGTGGTTGGTTGGCCTCTCCTTCAAGCCCCACATCCTTAGGAAATCCCAAAACACACCGGTTGTCTTCAGTGATTTAAATGGTGAGCCACTCCTGCATGTTTGAATCTTCCAGTTCAGATGATTGCTGATTGACTCCTCTTTCCACTTTCTGTCATAGATCTGAACCAACCATTTGAACACTAGAAAACTGAAACTTGTCAGTCCAACAGCAATAGATTTGCAGTTTCTGTTTATGCTATCTCGGGCCAAGTGATCTAACTGGAACATCAAGAATCCAACCGCTTCACAAGACCTGGCTACTTGTGATTTAATAAAAACACAATCTGAAAGTACACATCCTGATGAGATCGACAGCTTGTGTTCTGCCAAAGATTTCCAACTGTAGGTTCGAAAATTTGGTTGATCGCTATTCCTGCTCCTTTTCCAAATCAATAGAAACTGATTGCTTTGAGCCTTCTTCTTCTTCTTGCCTACCTTCTGAACCAAAAAACCCAAATCCAGAAACACAAAACTGGTTGGTCCAACCACTACCATCCAGTACCTTTTGTTTGAGATGTTTCGCGCCAAGTGATTTAACTGTAACAAATCATAGCCAGTCGTTTTAACTCCTACATTCCATAATCGATCCAGAAAGTGGTTGGTCAATGGTGAGTAGTTTGCTATTCTGATAGGACCCATAATTTCATCGCTAAGGCATCTTTGTCTTTCCTTCTTCTTGAAGTTCTGATCCAAGCTAGTGAACACCAGCTAAGCAAAAGTGGTCGCTTCAACGTCTATAGCATGTGTCTGGGTTCCAGAAGGACCAGATGATGGTGTACTTTCTGATTCTTCAAATGCTGTAACAAGTTGAAATCCTATCTTCTTTCCTTCCTTTGTAGCCTTGGATTGGTTTTTGACTGAAATATTCCAATAAATCAAACTCACCATAGGATTTATGTTCCTCATCCTTTTCAATTTAACCAGGGAAGACATGAAATGTAAGGTATTCTTTCTGAATCTCAGTAAGTGGTGTTCTAAACACCTAGATGAGTCCTGTTTCAGGCTGATAGCATTGATCCTTTTGTTTTTAAACTTGGCAGGTTTGCCTTTTCCAATATGTCCAGGGGTGAAAGGAAGGGGTTTGATACAGGTTGGACTAATGTCTGGGGGCTTGAAAGTTTGAAATATGTACTGATAACAAAGTGGTTTTTGGTGAGTTGAAAAAGCAGCCAAGAATTCTGGTTGAGGGTTAATGATGGATGCAGATTTAATGAAATTTCTTATGGGTTTACCAGGGTCCTTTTGGAATATTACTTCCAACATGTTTGTACTTGATTCTGGTGTGGGAGAAGAGCGAATTTCATTCTGTTGTCCAATAAAATTGATTTCTGGTACCATGTAAGATTTTTCTTCTGTTCCACCTGTCAAGATTGATTCTATCTTAAGGCTTTCAAAGGAAGTTGAATTATTCTGGGTGCAAATCTCTGGTGATCCAAATTGTGGAATTTCTGAGCTGGCACTATCTGGAGCTTCAGTCTTTTCAGTAATAAGAACTTCTGAATTTATGGTAGGCAACTGATCCATTA